ATTTAACACATGATCCATATCTTAATTCCATTATCTTCCATTGTTCTGTAACCTATGTTTATTTCCCCTTGTTTGATTAGATTGGCACTTCTGTGCATTTAACACATGGTTTTTGAGAAGATAAAGGTATTTTTAATAGGAGGTATAAGTCAACTGCTCTTTGAAGATGCAAAAGAAGTTCAACGAGGCTTGACAGCAAACAAGCTCACCTTTCTCACTTTAAAGTAGATCTGATGTCAGTTGTTTGACTGGTTTTATCCTTGGACTATACAAAGATTTCTTTATTTAAAAAATCATGTGATTTCATCCAAGTTACCTGGGAATAACAACTGTCTCTCTCGACCAGTTATTTTATGCTTTCTTTATTTGAGAAGAGTCCTTCATAAAACTAAATATCCTTTTTAGATTTCTGAATCATCACTTTATATAGTTTTCTTGAATTCTCTAAAACTACCACCATCTGTGACTAAGAGTACAAATATTCCAGATTGAAGCAATTACTAAGGGTTGAAGGACAATTACTTGAGACCTTCTCTCCATGTGGGAAACATGTGGGTTCCACTTGGTGCCTCTATGTTGAAACAAGGTTTAGATTAGATGCTCTGTTGGGTACAGGGTCAGGCTTACATTCCAGTGCTCAGTGGTGCCACCCATTGGGGCTCCATCATGAAATCTGATATGACACTGACATTGAGTTCATAGTAATGTGAGGGATCTGGTATCACCTGAAGTCTGTCAGTTTCAGGTAAAATGGCAGCAGATCAAAGGAAATTGAAGGGTTTTGACAAACTTGAAGTTTCCCTATCTTACTAGTGTACTTAATTACTAATTTAATGACATTAAAGTATTATTCTGTATTTCACATTGGCTCAAACGTACCTCATCCAGATCTGAATCTTCCTTCTATACAGGAGAAAAGGGACAAAAAGAGGATATTATTGAAACTTATGATTATATGAAATGGATGAAACCTTAGAAGCTGCAAATTCCCCAAAATACTTTCTATACATTAAATGACAGACAATTCCCCTTTCACAAAAACCAATCAAGATGTACACCAGGCCCCCTTATAATGATAACCATCACTGAAGCAGGAATACTCAAAAGTAGTCAAGACTAACTCCGCTCACAACATACTCCAGCGTTATAAATAATAGAACCAGCCATTAATATTGATAGGGAACATCCAGAGAACCCCTGTCACAATTCAAGTCCTTCATTACCAATCAAAATTAGCACTCTCACCTCTTGAGTCTAAAGGTTATGCATTCAATCTTCTTTTCAGATATTTGAAAACACAACCTGGGCTCATATGGAAATGCTGAGAGAATGCTACATTGTTGAAGGTGACACTGTAGGGCATGATATCCTGTAATGAAGCCCATTGTGCTTGTTCTGGTGGTTCAGGGAAACTTTAAATAACATATCTAAAGAATAACAGAGATTGTGTTCATTCATCTCATAATTCAGATCCCTGTACCTGTTCCATCATTCTTTTCGCTCATGGGTATTTATACCTCCACATTCCATATCTTCATATCTCATTGCTGTTTATAGGACCTGCTATGCCTAAAATAGTTGGTACATTCATTTTCAACTGAACGGTAACTGCACTTCTGAGTAACTGATTACACACGAAGTGATTTGAAATGTTTCTGAGATACATGGCAAACCATTTGAGCTTTTCTTTCACTCCGCAAAGAAACATTCAATAGTACAATTGTTTTTTGCAAACAGATTGAAAATGTTCCCAAACATTTTGGAATTATCTTCCTAAACATTTTTGTTTTTGGTATCATTCTCGACCAAGAAACACAGGAACAGGAGGTGGCTAATCAGCCCCTTGAGCTTGTTCTGCTATCCAATTGAACATGATTGATCTTACCTCGTTTATTTACACAACTGGTTATACACCCCTTAATACTCTTACCCAAATATTTTAGAGATTTCAATTGATCAACAACTAAAGCCTCAGAACATTTTCCTTCAACCATCAAGTTTTGCATCCGTCATTCTCTTCCTTAGGGATGTGTTATGTTAAAAATGTGCAGATCGTGACTGTGAAGTTGCAAACTAATCAATTACCTTTTAGTAGGTGCTTCCCAGCTTCATGTTGGGCTCACAATGGCAAATTGGAAAAGAACTATATGGATCTGTGGCTTGCTAGCACAATAATATACCCTGAATTTTAACCAAAGTATGTTCCAATAATGACATTGTACTGCATCGTATCTTAACTCACATCAAACCTGTTGTCCCATCACATCTACGCTCATTAACCTACATTGGCTCCCTATTCAGCAAAGGCATCAGATTTAAAATCCTCATCCCATTTTCAAAACTCTCATGACCTTACCCCCTACTCCACTGCTTCTATCATCCCCAATATCTTTACATTCTCCCCACAATCTATAATCTTCTGAGTATCTGCAATCCTCCAATTCTGGATTCTTGAGCATTGCTGAATTTATTGCTTCTCTATTAGCAGTCACTTATTTAGCTACCAAAGCCCTATACTCGAGAGCTCCCTCACTAAGTCTCTCTGTTTCTCTGCCTCAATCTTCCACTAAGACATTCTTAACACCTACTTCCTGGACTATGCTTTTGATTACTTTTCCAAATATCTCCTTTTGTGGCACTGTGTCAAATCTTGTTAAAAGTCCTGTCAAATAATTGTTTACTACATCAACTGCACTACATAGATTGTGGTTTTGATTGGATTGAATTAAAACCTTCACTTTAACTATACCCTCACCTCTGTGATCATTCCATACCTGATTTTGATATCTGCGCCATTGCTTCTGGATTGTTTTTGCTGCTTGTTCTCTGTCATATTTCTGTTTCTGCTGAGTGCAACCAACAGAAGTGGTCTGTGTGGACCGGTGACTCCTGGCCAAACCTTGAATGGATTGATTGCTTGAGCTGTGTATCTGTAGGAGAGTGGCATTGTTAATGTCCACAGATCATGAGAGCCATTTTTGCAATAGCAGTGACATGTAAAGTCCAGTGTCATGTTTGGTGGTGCACATGTCGGTGTTTATGTCTTTTGCAAGATGACTCCTCCACAGGAGAAAAACCTGACATTAGATCTATCTAAAAGCTTGAGAAGGTGCTACATCACCTTTATGAAGGCAGGCTGCTGTGCAAACAGTTACATATCCAGCCTAGTCATTTTCTTTATTCATTTATCAGATGTGGGCATCGCTGGTAGGCCAGCATTTATTGCCCATCCCTGGTTGCTCTTCTGAAGATGCTAGTATCTCTTGAACTGCTTTAGTTCATGTTTTGTACGTAGACCCACAATGCCATTAGGCAGGGAGTTCCAGAGTTTTGACCCAATGACACTAAAAGAACGATGATGTACTTTCAAGTCAGGATGTGAGTGGTCTAGTGATGGGATTTTCAGGTGGTAGTACTCCCATGTAGCTGCTACTCTTGTCCTTCTAGATGGCAGTGGTCATAGGTTTGGAAGATGCTGGCTAAGGAGCCTTGATGATATTTTGCAGTTCATCTGGGTAGATGGTGCACACTGCTATTACTGAGTGTTGGAAGTGGAGAGAGTGAATGTCTGTGGTTGTGGTGCCAATCAAGCAGGCTGCATTTTCCTGGATGGGTCAAACCTTTTGCGTGTTGGTGGAGATGCGCTCATCCAGGTAAGTGGGAAGTATTCCATCACACTCTGATTTGTGCCTTGTAGATGGTGAACAGGCTTTGGGCAGTCAATTATTTGCTGCAAGATTCCTAGGCATGGACTTGCTCTTGTAGTAACTTTGTTTATATGGCTAGTCCAGTTCATCCAACTGGTCAATGGTAACCTCAGATGTTGATAGCATAGATTCAATGATGGTGACGCCATTGAATATCAAGGGGCGATGTTAGATTTCCTCTTGTTAGAGATGGTCATTGCTGGTGCTTGTGTGACATAAACGTTATTTGCCACTTGTCAGCGCAAAGCTGTATATTGTCTGGGTCTTGCTATATTTGTACATGGACTGCTTCAGTATCTGACGAGTTACAATTGGTGCTGAACATCGTGCAATCATAAGTGAACATCCCACTTCTGACCTTATGGTGGAGGGAAATTTGTTCATGAAGCAGCTGAAGGTGGTTGTGCCTAGGACACTGGCCTGAGAAACTCCTTCATTGCTGTCCTTTTCTCAATCTCTCCCTTCCTTTCTTGTGCAATGGAATTAATGATGCTGAGATTTATGACAATACATGCTCGGAGTTGTGTTACACAGTGGGCATCTTCTACACTGCTATGTTTCCTACCATGTAACACTGATTATACTTCATTGTGTATTGAAAATGTTTTGAGAATTTTGTCCACTTCAGTCTACCAAATATACATACCAGCAAAGAGAGGCTGCTAGGAAGAGATAATAAAGGATCCATCTGTAATAGCTTTAATTCTAACTTTAGTTTTAATTCTACAGGTTTCCGACCGAATATTTAATTATTTCTGTATTAACAACTTCACATTCTTCAAAAATACTTCATTGGTTGCAAAGCACTTTGGAACATCCTGTAGTCATGAAAACAGCAATTAGAAATACAATCTTCCTTTCAGACTGCTGTCACGCTCTCACTACCACTTGACCTAGTTGCTAACCACATTTCGAATTTACCTCATCAATGTCACTGGAGTGCGGTTTCATTCTCCGATGGTCTTCCAGCTCTGCTTCCAGTTGTGTTATTTTTTCTGTCAGGGAATGGATTTCCCTCCTGCAGCACATGACAGATCAAATTTTCACTCCCTTCACAGTTGAAGATTAAAATCTAACATTCAATGAGTGATTAAAATCTCAGGCCTACTGTATCTCTAAATTACCGTTACGTTCATTCCTTTTACTTATCAACAATCGGCCCTCAGATGAAAATATTTCATGATATTTTTATAAAACTGCAACATCCAGGTGTTTGGAGTCTTGCTGTTTGGTTTTGTTCTGTCATATTTATGGAGTGAGCTGGCTTTGGCCGCTGTGTCAACTGAATTTCACTAACCATGCTTACGTAGATCACCTTTTCAGTTTGGATTGATTAGGGAATAGGAATTGGACAATGATCTAAATGCATGGTTTAAGTGCACTTTAAAACTGGATTAAGCACCTTGGTGAATAAGTGAGATTGTTAGGCATATATGATGGTGGAAACAGTTGGTATTGACTCATTCAACAATTTCTTTCAGAAAATAATGTTTTGGGATATGGAATGAATAATTTGGAGATATGATATATAAATGTGTCACATGCTAGGGAGAAACCAGTCACTTTGGATCAATGGTTCTCAAAGCTCTCCACCACTGGAGTTTTTCTCACCTTGCATCTTGGTCTGCTGTAGACTAATTCATAGAGATTGGCTGCAATCATTAATCTACAACCAGTACCAGTGGACAGATGAGAAGAATATTTTTACAGTTACGATAGTCTGGAATGCATAAAGAGCTGGTGAAACTAGATTTATTAATAATTTTCAAAGGAATTTGTAAATAACTTATGTTATGGGGAAACTTACGTTAATAAGGCAAATAGGAGCCAACACTGCTGTGATGAGCCGAACAGTCTCCTTATATGCTATATGATTCTACAGATTCCATTATTTTGTATCATGAGACTCCTAGGATAGTGGCATGCTAAGTGGATTTTTCATTGAACAATTTCTGTGTTCCCAACAGTTGCTTCTGGTTGAATAGACTTAATTATTAGGAATTCATTAATTGGAAACATTGGTGTCATGATAATGTCATGGACTAATAATCCAGAACTCCAGTCTGATGTTCTGGAGATATGTATTCAAATCTCACCAGGTCAGATGGTAAACATGTGATCACTGCCGATTGTTCTAAAGACTAATCAGGTCCACTATTGTTTTTAGGGAAGAAAATTTAACATTGTTACCTGGTCTACATCTGACTCCATACCAATGTGGGTGATTCTTAATGTTCCTCTGGACCATTTGGGCAACAATGGATGAGCAACAAATGTAGGCCTAGCCAGCAGCACTCACATCCCCCATCAACGAATTAAAACAATCCTAAAGTAGAAGATCCACTTGCGCTGTTTGAAAGAGTACACTAACCTGTATTCTTCTGAGGGCTTGTCAGCTTGAGTTTTCCTGAGGCTGTGCAGCTCCTTTTCCATCTCTGACTTTTCCTGAATTAGTCGATTCATTTCAGCACTACAGAGCAAGCACATAACTGAGAATCAGTAGAATGTATAAATGCTTTCTAATGTACCCCTATTCATCTTGGATAAATTCACCACTTGCATTATATTTAGAAAAAGCTTTCACTTCTAAAACACGTATCATGGCCTCAGGTTATCCCAAATTGGTTTGCAGCCAATGAGTTACTTTTTGGAGTGTAGTAATAAAGGAAACATAGCAGACAAAAGGCCCGCAGCAAACTCACACAAACATCATGCTGACCAGATGTTTTCTTTAGGTATTGGTTGAAGGAAAATATTGCCCAGTTTTCACTGTATATCAATTATGTTAATTATATGCAGGTGAAGAGCAGTAAAAAGGTTTTCATGAGCAGATATAAACAGACACTTAGAAAGTGGAGTGCGGTTGAATGTAAATGTTAGACTGAGTAAAGATTAGATTTATTTCTATCCTTCACTGACTTTCTTGAATGGTACAATCAGGACATGTGGAGAATTTCCCTTCTCTTTGAATAGAACCATGAGATCTTTTACATCTGATGCAGCTGTTAGGGTGAATGGAATCTTGATTTCATGTCTCATCTGAAAAAATGGCACCTCTGACAGTGCAGAACTCATAAGTACTACATTGGGATTGTCACATCTAGATATTGTTCTCCGGTCTGTGGTGTGGGCTCCAGGCTCCCTTTCTCCACAATACTCACTCCCTGGCGGCTAGCTCTTTCTGCAGATGACTGCGATCCTCCTTCAGCTTTTTCACTAGTTCACGGAGGCGGCCATGCTCCTGTTGTTGGTTGAGCTGCTGCTTCTCTTGTTGCTGCATCTGATCCAGGGCAAGTCCAGCCTGTGGGTGCTTCTGTTCAATGGCCCCGTTATTTGTCCTGGATTGCGAGCTGGCTAACTCCTGATCATCAGCCTTCTGAGAAATTCAAGAAAGTAGCAGTATGACTGGCAGATAGTTCTTCCACTAGTAACATACTGATCCTTTAAACCCACTTAATCTCCCTGAATCCTTAGCCATGCTACTCTCACCTTCTCCAGCTCCAGAAGCCTTCTCACCAGTCTTTGTTTGCTCCACTCACTGTAACCTAAAAGGGAAAACATACAAAGAGAGCGAAATACTTTCTGATGTGTGACATCAATAACAAAAGTTACAGGACTAAAGAGCAGACAAACATAGGAATTAGGAGCAGGAGTAAGCAATTCAGCCCTTCAAGCACGCTCTGCTATTCAACATGATCATGGCTAATCTTATCCTGGTCTCATCTCCACAAAGGAACATCAGAAAACATATTGTTGTATATTGCAATTTGATACAGTATAATATATAATAATTACAGCTGTACTGAGCTCTGGTACTGGACCTAAAACGTTTAAATTATGAGGATGATTAGTCATCCCTCAAAATCTATTTTCTCGAGAAAAAAGTCCCAGATTGTTCAGTCTTTCCTGATAGTCATAGGCTCTTAGTTCTAGTATCATCCCTGTAACACCTGGGACTATTTTCTTCAGAAAAGAGAGGGCTGAGGCATGACATGAAAGGGCTCGTTCAAATTTTGAAGGAGCTGGTAGGGTTGATGTAAGCGAGAAAGTTCTATGTAGAGAGGAGAATGAATTAGGAGTCTTAATACAGGATAGTGACTGATAAATCTAATTGGAAACTTTGCAGATTCTTTAGTGCAAGAGTGGTTAGAATGTGATACTCTGTAACATGTAGTCTGGTTGATGCAAATGGTACAGATGCAATTAAGGGTATCGACATAACTACATAAGGAAGAAAGAAGTAGAGGAAATGTACTGATGGGATGAAAAAAACATAGGATAGGATGGGGTTCCTGTAGAGCATAAGCACTGATGTTGTGTTGCGCAGAACGACCTGTTTCTGTGCTGTAAATTCTATGAAAGGTTTCTATTTTCTCCTGTGGGACATCTAGAATAAGGGGAACTATCTACAAAATTATAACTAGGCCATTCAAGTATGATATCTAGAAACATTAATTCCAACAAAGGGTAGCTGAAAATCTATATCAAATGTTGTTAAGGCTAGAGGTCAATATTCAAATATAAATTGATGGGTTTTTGTTGATTTGGGGCACTTTGGGTTTTGGAACCAAAGTGGGTAGATGGAATTATAATCTGACTGAATGGCACAACAGGCTTGAGGGCCTATTCCTGTTTTACAGGTGCAAAATCTGGCACACAACAGCAGCATAGCTAAGTCAATATGGGCAGCACAAGTGAAGGAAGGAAGCTCACTGTAACTCACTTGTCAAATTTAGAGAACATCAGTCACACTAGCAGAAGCAATGAACCAGAGGTTAGGCAGCTCATATAGAGAAGGCTGGGGGTAGCAACGAAATGTTGTGCAATGTCTACCTTGGGCTGTGCTGATTGCAAAAGAGCCGTGGGATGCTTGGTCCAAGTCACCCTTCAAGGCTTTATTCTCCTGCTGGAGGTGTTTAAGGCTTTTGGACAATCTCAGGATGGTCGAGTTGAGCACCTTCTGTTGTTTCTGTGATTCTTTGCTCTCTGGTATCAACCTACAAAATAGAAAGAAACAGAAGTAATTACTAGCTGCAAACGAAGTGTTACACGTGCAATTGTGACTCTTTTTTGTTTCCACCTTTTGCTGTGGGAATAGTAGCCTATACTCACAGGTAGCTATTCCATGATTGCCAGACAAAGATGGATATAAATGATTTCAGAGTTTTATTTGAACAGGAGCATGGAGTTTTTCCAGTGAATTTCACCAATATTCCTTCCTCAATAAGCATCATAAAAAATATATTAAATGGTCACTTACCAATGTGTGCTGTGCATAAAGGAGGTCTTGTGTTTGCCTCCATAAGAACAGTTTCTTCCCTTTGAAGCTTAATTTAATGAATGTGAAACACTTTGAGAAATCTCAAGGGACAAAACAAGGCACAAAGTAAATGCTGTTGAGAAAGCTGTATTGCTATTTTTCTAAAAACCTGTTTCAGAAATACTTTACATTCGGGAGCTCTTCCTACATCCTCTTAGGTTTTGAGCACCAGAAAGTCATTCAACTGTGGATGGCATCAAGGCCCAGCCTTTTCCCAGTTGGAATGCATCCCTTGATGATGTCTCCCCATTGTTACCTGGGGATAAAGATCTAAGATAACAAGGTGTAGAGCTGGATGAACACAGCAGTCCAAGCAGCGTCAGAGGAGCAGGAAGGCTGACGTTTCGGGCCTAGACCCG